ATAAAAATTTTTGTAGAGATGTTCATTTATTGTATACATACGATATTTGCATGTGCATGGTTATCGATTCTTTCTTCACCGGTGGGCCAACATTTTATGATATTTTTACCATTTTTTCTTTGCCTTTTGCTACTTTTTCCATTAGGAAAGCATTTTTGTATCGGTGGCACATTAGCCTTTCATCGATACATGCGATGGAGGTGATCCATATAAAAAGCATCGTACCATTGTCTTCATGCTAATTTATACCAGCCGAAATACCAGCACATATACACGCACGTGTTGATGTAAGTGTATGAATGTAGGATTAGTACGCTTCTAGGTTTGTATTTGTATTCGTACCATTTAAATATTTTTTTTATTAATGTACCAAAATCGAGGCAGGAATATTAATAATATATGATCCACTGTTATACGAGTGTGTGTGTGTTTAGATTTTGTGTTTACCGGTGTTCAAATATTTCTGGTTTTTAAAATTTACAGAAAGATTGAGAGACGTTTATGTGTGAAGATGTCCTCTGTCTGGTGAATCACGTGGTATATATCTGTCCGTGCGGTGTGCGCATAATATTGAAATATCAAAAGATCCATCGTTCCTATGTAAGTATCTCGAAAAATCAATTCGGAAGAGGCGCGTGTTTATGCGTGTCACATTCTGTAATTGCTACTGATTTCTTTCTCTCTCCATGTAGAACGCCACAACACTATCTTTGTTTGTGTGTATATATATATTTGTTGTGAATGTACGTGAAGATGTGCGTATATGAGAAGCACAATGCTTGTGCGTGCGTGTTGGTTGTATAATGTGTGTGTTTTGTACATGAATGCATGCATGAATATGTGTGCAGTCATGTGTACAAATTTTTAAAAAAGATGTGTATGTGCATGAATAACTTGCTTGTTAATAAAGGACAGAACACAACATGCGTCTGTGTGTGTGCGCGCGCGTGTGTGTGTTTGTGTTTTATAAATGTCAACATTCTGTTGTTCTAGAGAATGTAAAAGATACAATTGATTGTTGATAGTAAGTGTTTACGGTAAGTAAGCATGCATAAAGGAACTGCCTGTGCATGTTGTAGACAATTTTGCTAATAAATCAAGATATCCAATCCAAGTCGTTTGGTTGATTATGCATCTTTCAAGGCAGCTTTGAATGATTATCTCTTCGCATGCCATATCTCCAAGACGTTACTAGCTGCCACTGAATGAACGCAAAAAATAAACAAAACACGCCTTTTCATGCGCAATGCACCACTTAAAATAGCAACAACAGCAGTTATAACAATAACTAAGTCAGCAATCCAAGCAATCCATTATTATTATATCATGGAACAATTCTTAAATAAATTTCTATTACAATCACAATTGTATCAACAAGTTCTTCCAACCAAACAATCCTATCCATGCACAAAAGCACATTATAAGCAACAAAATAATTCAACTACAATTCAATTATACGTGAAAATCCTATGAAATAAACCAGTGTGTTAAACATAGAAGCATATGGAGCCCATATAATTCAATTGTCATTTCTACAAATACAAATTGTTTAAATCGGGCAGACAGACAGACATTAAACACAACACAGTAAATAACAGACTTGTGTTCAACGTCAGCAAGCACTCTTCTTACTGGACGGACACCACAACACATGTCTTGCACATGTGTGTCAATATGATGCGTGCCTACCTACCTACCTACCTACCTACCTACCTACCTACCTACCTACCTACCTACACCATGTATCATCTGTTTTTATCATTATTTTTATTGTCTGTTGTTTACATATTTTGTTTTTTGTCTTTGTAAGAAATGTAGAAGCACGTACAAGAACACTCATACGTCAAATCCTCTAGTAAATCACGCACCAAACAGACAATGTAAAAACAGAGCAACATTAAAAAAAATCATCTTACACCTACATGCTAGCTCCTCATCTCTCAAATTGAATTCAAAAAATTGTTAACTAGAACTAGAAAATAGATTTTAAAAATCAAATCTATAAAAGAAATTAGAATAATCATCCTAACTACTTAAATACAAATATGTAAATTTTCAATTTCAAAACAAATTATCCAATTACACTAAATTATCCTAAATTTTATTTCTCAAAATATTTTTAAAAATAATTCTTAAACAATCCAGAAGACGGAGCATATACAATATTAATGATATTGCTCGTCGGAGCCCCCACTGAAGCGCCCGACGATGCCTTATTTAACACGTACAATTACGTACACACGCATACCAAATACTTCATATCATCCATCTTTCGCCAACAACATTTTTACAAGTCGATAGTTTCATTAACCCGTATTAAGCCATGCGTGAACACGTGTGCAAAAATTATTTATTTTTGCACACACACACACACACACACACACACACACTAAACACCATAAATGCATACATACAAACACACTAGATGAACTGACGCTATTATCTTAATACAAATCAAATACAATCATTCTTGTATAAATATAAAAATATTTTTACGCGAACACACACAGGTGAAACAAGTATCGTACATATACGAATACATAGGATACAAACAATCAATCACATACACACAAAGACACACACACACACACACAAACAAGTAAACACACACAGACACAAATACCCACCATACACACAACGACAAACATCATATCAGCTGCCGTGGAACGTAAACAAACTGGTAATATTTTGACAGTTGCATATTCTGTCACTTCACACACATATATTTCATATGCATGTGTCTTGTTGTATATGTTTTTGTGCATATATCATTATACACGTACCTGCAGTGTGTATATGTCTGTATACACATACATGTATGTATGTATAGCATACGTGTTTGTTTAATGTATGTGTGTAGTGTATATATAATTGTACATACACAAAATATGTGTACTTAAACAAATACACATGTGCATAACCTTTTATCGACCTTTTAAACTAATTCGTTTTGATGCGTGTGCAACAAACACACATGCACTCAAAAATGCATTTTGAAACACACACACACACACACACACACACACACACACACACACACACACACACACACTGCATACTACACATATACATACTCCATGTCACACATATATACACACACACACCATACATGTATACATATATTTAGACACGCATATGTGCATGCATAGGATGAAGCAAAGGGACGGATATTTAACCGGACATTTACAAGCGCATCAGGTGGTACTAGCACGAAAAAATGAATAATTCGTTTAGAGACAGCCAAAAATGAACATAAAAACACACAATGTAAAAAATAGAGACGCGGAAAAATGGCAAGGTCATAGTTTAAAGTTGAGGAATACGTTCAGTTTGGCCCTCATGGAAATTGCATTTTCTTTGTTTCGCCCCCATAATATGTCACGCCAAAATGTTTGTGTTACTAGTGTCGTGTCGATCTGCTCTGCTGTCTGTATTTATTTGTTTGTTTGTTTATTTGTTTGTGCTTTCGTGTACGTGTTTGTATGCCTGCTTTTTATCATGATTTATTTAGCATGTCCTTGTGCTATTGTGCGTGCGTTACTAAAAAACCTTCGAATGATTGTGTATTGGAGTGTAAATATTTAAAAAAAATATCTAAAACTGATACTAGAACTTTTACATAAATAAATATATTATATTATTAACAAGAATAATTATAAAAATATTTATTCAAATATAAGTATTAATAAAAAAATGTAAAAACCCTCAAAAATTTTTACCAACATATGCATGTCTGAGTAGGTTTTCTGTGATTTCTTAATATAATATGTGATAAATAATATTCAAATTATTGGAATTATATGTTTATTGATGCAAATTATATTAACACCAAAGGTACATATTTTCTGTATTTAATACATACATACATCGCACGTATTTGCACATGCTAACCTACAGAATACATAATAAAAGAACCGTAGAAGATTATAATGATAATTATTGCGTATCCATAATGAAAACGTAGGTATAATACACAATATACCGTGTTGTATGTGTGTGTGTGTCTGTGTCTTTCTCTCTCTCTCTGTGTGTGTGTGTGTGTGTGTTGTATGCGTTATAATACGCACATCATGTAATTATATTTTTATAGATTCTTATAAAAATAATATTCATTAAAAGATATATGTTAAAATTACATAGGTATATGGAGTTGGTTGGTAGGAATTATGCGTAAACATAATTAATGTGTATTTATATCTTGGCAGTGAAATGTTATGTATATATTTATATATAAATTTAATAAAATTATAAATTTATATATATTCACTTATATAAAATTTAATAAAATTATAAATTTATATATATTGAAATAATTATATATTATTTAATTATATATATATATATATAATTACACATATTATTGTTGTCAAGTCGAAAAGTGTTTTAACAGCATAATCTATAATAAAGAGGTGTGTAATTGTTTCTAGGTGCTATGCATTATGCTACCTCAGTCTAAAAATAGATAATTATAACATTCAATTCTCTCTAAAAAAATTAATTAATTAAAACAATACAATATTCAACTTATGAGCGCACATACACACATACATACACACACACGTGTAACTGAAATTCAAACAAACATACATCATCACATAGATTCAAAAATACATACCTGTTGAATTTTTTCCATGTTTAATACTCGACCGATTTTGTGTTGTTGAATTTTACGTTTCAATATATTTTTTCATCCGTAAAATTATTTTTTATTTAAAAAATATGTAAATGAATAGCAGATTAATCAACATTTTGTCATATATTGGTTAGAATTTAATACACTTGGATCTGTCACAAATTCAAAAATGTCGGCCTAGACATTGATTTAAATTAAAATATATATGGGTGAAAAATCTTACTGATGATCGACATAATTCCCATCAAGGTCTCGTCATTTTAAAAATAAGACATGAAAATTTTTGATTTACTAACCGATTAATTTTATTAAATAACCTATAAATAGATAAACACAATAAATAACATTTCAATACATTTACTTTCAGATAGGAACACTAGGACATTAGGCTACTCACCAAACCTTCCATACCAACACAGTAACGCTAACAACGTTCCACAACAATCTCATCGCCACGAACCAAAGAACGATAGCAATGGCATGAACATGCTCTGCTCAACGACAAACTTTTCATACTGCGACAACAAGCGAGCTAGAACAGCCTACACGAAGCATCAAATTTTAGAACTGGAAAAGGAATTCCACTTCAACAGATACCTAACGAGAAGAAGGAGAATAGAGATTGCTCACTGCCTATGCCTCAGTGAGAGGCAGATAAAAATTTGGTTTCAAAACCGCCGGATGAAATGGAAAAAAGAAAACAAGCTACCGAATACTAAAACTTTGAAAAATAAAAACAGGGATGTGAGTATTGATAAGAATGATAGCAATAGTTTTAATAACAATAATAATAATAATAATAATAATAATGACGACAACGATGATGACGATCTAGACGAGAAATTCAATGATAGCTACGAGAACGACGATGATGAAAATGATGATGACAGCTTAAGTAATGAAAAAATGGGATAAATCTTTAATGATGCGAAATTATTTTTAAATAATTATATCATTTTTGCTTGTATAAATTTAAATATTAATATTAATTAATTAATATTTCATTGTAATTTCTGTTGGATATTTAATAAATAAAATGGCCTTTTTATAAGCAGCTTGCCTTGCTCAAGTTATCTGGTGAACTTTTTTAAATATTTCAAATCCACGCTACTAGCTGAGTCATTTGCGGTTCTTTAAAATTATTCATATTATTCAACATAATACATATCCAGTGTTGTTGTTATTATTATTAAAAAGAAATGTAATTAAACTGAAATTATTTTCATTAAATTGATTTAATAATGAACTTTATGTATGTTACGTAGATATTAAAAAAATTAAATTTTTACTCTAAATTATCAATAAATATTTTGTGCCTTTTGCATCGAAGAACAATAAAAAAATTCTTTTTTTTAACAAGATTTTTCATCACCTCAGAATTTCAAATATTTTCGAATTATTGTATAACTGGGTTTGGTTTGGTTATTTTGATCTATTCTATTCTTGTTATATTACTAATGTTATAACATAAATATTAGTTTTTTTTATTATATTTTAAATTTTTATTCATGAAGATCAAATAAAAAAAATTATTAATGCAAAACAATTATCGTATAAACACATTAAACGAACATTACCATTTTTCTCAATCTAAATTTCTACATTAAAAAAAGTTTAGTTTATATTATTTATTTAAATAATTTAACTAATATTGTTTTTTATTAACATAATTAAATAACACTTTTGGAATTTTAAAATATAAAAAAAATGTTTACTTTCGATTTTTTTCAAATACTTTTCCATTTGTAATTTTCCAGCCTTTCATTTTCAATACCAATAATTTATAAATCTCTTGCCTACATCGTCGTGTGTTAATAATAATAATTTTAAAAGTTTGATTTTCATTATTTCAGAAAATAAATTATTCCAAAAATTCGTTAAATTCGTCAATTACAAATGTCAATTAATTAAAAAAGAGAATATAAGCAAGGATCTGCAGCAAAATTTGTTAGAGTTTGAACTATAAACTATTTTTTATTATTCATTTCAATTTATTCATTTCAATTTATTCATTTATTAATTTTTACTTTTACTATTTATTCTTCAATATTATTATTTAATAGTTAACTATTTTAAATTTCAAAAAATCGTCCTACAAACAATAAATTTTAAACAAATAAAAACATTTTCTATATTTATTATTTTTAATTTGATAATAACATTATTATTATCATTATTATAAATGTTTATTATCATTATTATAAATGTAACCAAAAAATAAATTGTTAAAAATATATCTATTAGCATATTTAAATTAAAACGTGAATATAAAATAATTTAATAAATGCCATGTATAGATATAGACATTACCACACCATTTATTATTAATATTAATAAAAATTTAAATAAATATATATTCATTCATGTGAGACAAATGTTAATTTAATTAACTAAATATCATTATTTAATTCGCAAAATATTTAAAGTTTAACACGTCAAAACAAGAAGGACATATGTTTACACATACATACACGCGCACTCGGACGTCCAGGCACACATACAAATACACACTGACACTGATAAGCATACAATGACACACACATACACGAAAGCAAACATATCCACTCACATACAAACACACGCAACCAAGCTATCAAACATACAATGCACACATACACACACATCAACACACACATACACACAAACACATTCAAAACCTTAAATTAATTTACGATCATCTCACTTAATGATTTTACGACCGCAATTAACGATGCCTAATTATAATTTTAACAAAGAAGGGCACATGTCTTGGGAGCTCTAGCCAGCTGTGATCTGATTGGTTGTAAATTAATTAAGCCTTCCCACTATATGTTAATGAGCTTTCACCATTTTACTAGCTAACATATCCAAATTTAATTAGTTCAAAGGTCAATAATTTAGCAATTTATATTATTATACTATAAATAATTTTTGTACGTCAATATTGTTTCAAAAGTGCAATATTTAGTCATGTTAAATATTTGCATAAATTTTTTGTCACAATCAAATCAAAATAATATCAATAATAATAACAATGCTAGTAGTGCCAGTAGCAGCTGAACCATGTTACTTTCATTTTTACTTGAGGAAAATATCACTGCTGTTGAAATACAAGCGGCAGTCGTAGTAGCAGTAGCAGCAGTAGTAGTAGTAGCAACAGTAGTAGTAGCAGCAGTGGTAACAGTAGTAGTAGTAGTAGTAGTAGTAGTGACAATGATCGCTCTATTGTAAAAATTCCAGTAAAATAAACTCCACACGCATGAAAAACAAAACCCAGCTAAAGTACAGAAAGATTGGCAAATGGATTTCTAATCAGCCTGATCTCTCGTGATATCAGACAGTGTGAAACAAAGCTACATTCGATTCCCTGCTATCGATACTTTTCTGATAGCACAATACTAATACTATTATACTAGTAAAGTATATCATGAATGCTTAGTACATTACTAATTTACATTACATTAAATTTCAAGGGCATTCGTTTGTTGGTTTGAAACAATCATCATTATTATTCGGATAGTATTTATACAATAATACTAGATTATTAGAATAGATGTTTTTAACGTATCGCAAGTACTAAATATTAATTTTTGTAATTAGAATCGAATAGAATTACTCCATATGAATTATTTATTAGTATTACTACATTCTGTCTGATGGCATCTAGTTGAGTGAATTTTCCACTCGTTTGTTGCAAACAACTTTTAGATTTTTGTTTGTTTGTTTTTGTTACTAATTGCTTGTAAACACCGTAAAAGCAAATCAATAAAAATCAACCCACTCATCATATACTAATAGATCGCAAAAAATACAACGATATTAGGAATAAGCTTAGAGTTCCAATGTTTGTACTGTAAAATCAATATTCCAAAATTAAAATCTGGAAGTCTTAATCTCATTCCTGGAGGAGTTCAATCTGTTAAACTTGATTTAAAGAGTTGAAGATCACCAGATACAAAAAGTCACAAACAAGCCCAGGATCGTGATGGCCACAGGGCGCAATGATAGCCTCTTTGTTCTAAGACGCCGCTAAACTGCAAAAACAACAACCATAAAAAAGTTATAAAGTAAAGTATTAAAAATAGTGGAAACAATTTATGTGATATTTTTTCATGCTAGATTTTGTTTATGATGAAAGGATAGACAAATAAATAAAATCATAGAGCAAAAAAACTGAAGATAAAAAAACGCTCGTCCATAAATACATATACAGCCATCAAACGTTAATCAACAAAAAATAAATCAACAAACAAGCAAAGCAACAAAAGAACTAGAAGAGAGAAAAAGAGAAGGAGAGAGAGAGAGAGAAAGAAAGGAACACACAAAAAACTAAAAATAAACCAGGAGAGAAAGATGCTATTTATGACGAAGGGAAATCGGGTTAACTGAGGCTTGTCGGATTTTCACGACCGAATGAACACCAAGTCAAATTCCAGAACCGGTATCGTTTAGCTGATCTGCAGTCAATGGAAATGAATGAAACGTCCTGCATATAAACTTGTATCAATGTAAATGTCTTTGTAAGCCTATATAAGCTAAATATAGATATGTATATGTGATCACACGCGTACACATAAACAGACATACACACATACACACGCACAAACACACTTACACACACATGATATATTTTGATGTGTGATTCCTATCGTGTATGTCTGTTGTTGTTATGTATGTTTATATGATTCTTATCTCTTCCCCGAAACGCTTGTGCATTAAATCAAATAGGAAAATAACGTTACATGATTGTACGTAGTTATGTACGTACTATGTACACGCCCGGTTTCTGTAACGAATTTATGTTTGTGCATAGGGTTTGTGTTGTATATATGCGTAATTGTGACTCTATGTATGCGTTAGTTTTTTTTTATATCTTCTTGGATGAATAAACAACGATACATGCGTGTATATTTTGGGTTTTGTTGTTTAAACGTGTGTGAAGATACAGAGAATAATGTTTGATTTATTTTTAGATATGATTCCAAAAATATATTGAAAATTTTTTGTTGAAAATTCTTAAAACAAAAAAAATGAATAATAGCAGAATGCCTATAACGATGTGAAATATAATAGCGAAACTGCTTCATTCAACATGAATAGTCTCAATCATCACATTTTTAACTAATATTTTTTGCACATCATCTTTATTAAGTTTTAATCATCATTAACATCATCGTGAAACATCAGGTTGTAGTTTGATTTCTTCGGTTTATCATTTCCATTATTAATTATCATTATCATTTTTTCCACATGACCACCACAACATCACCATAGTTTTTCCACATGACCACTACAACATCACCATAGTTTTTCCACATGACCACCACAACATCACCATAGTTTTTCGTCAACGTCATCCCAACTTTCATGATCCTACACACCATCAGATATTCATCAAACGGCCATCATCGTCATTATCACGCATAATTATCATAATCACGTCATCACCATCACTATAATTAAGTCATCACGTTACATGCGTCATCATCATCTAGCCATCGTCTTTGTCGTCGTCATCATAAAGTCATCACGTGACTTCCGTCATCATCCGGTTGTTGCTTCGAACCAGCACGATGCCTGTAGGTCTGAGCTTCTGTAGATAAATGATTGACATAACACACAAGCTCAAAGCTCCAGGGCACTGTGAAGGAGGCGGATGACGTCACAGAAAAATGAATGGGGTCAGTCGAGGTCAATGTCAAGTTCAGGGTCACATTCATACCGACTTTCATGCACATTTAAAAACTCACGTTGTGCTGTTTTGTGTGGTGAATAAGAATTAAATAAATTTAATTCTTAGAATTAAATAAATAAGATAGAGAGAGAGAGAGAGAGAAATGGAAAAAGAGAAAAGGAAGAATATTGAATAGAAAGAAATAAAATGACGAATGAAATGAAATTTTCAACAATTGTTTAGGAGGGAAGAGACGTTCACT